ACACGACCTCACTTTGGCTATCCAGGTGTATGGATGAAGCATAGGGGAGAAACAGGGGCTGAGAGCTGATATGACCTGCTTAGGGTGACATATGTAGTCTGAGGCTGAGCTGATAACAGAACTGACATTTCTGTAGCCCCACACAGATTTTGAAATTTCTTGGAAAAGAAGCCCATTTGTATTTTATAGGAGGTTGTCACCATTTCTTACTGCTTAATACCAGCACTCACATATGAATTACCTGTTTATGGTGTGAGAAAATAACAATTCACTTACTTAAGACCATAGCAGCTCTGATGTTAAATGTGTGGGTTGTGATATCAGAACAACGGTCGATGCTGAAAGAAAAATCTTGCTGGACATCTGTTTGGAGACAGAAAGCAGTGGGTAACAAGTCGTATTTTTAATGATACTGACTATATAGAAGAAAATAATAAAATATAGCAGTGTTACAAAAACAGATTTACATATTCCTTACAAATTCTGCAAGATGTGCTCAAAGTTCCCATACCCTGTGTTTAATATCTGCTTCTGTCCTTCCTGTCATGTCAATCTGAAGCACGTTCAGATGATAGCTGATATGTGGCTAAAACCTACTGTATGGGAAAATGAGCCAGGTTCAGGGACAGCAAGTTCCCCACAGTGGTGGGTTGTCAAGTCTCATTCAACAATGAAGACTTAGCATAGCTGCTCTTCCTAGGCTCTGTGCATCAGCATTCCTGATGAGCAATTGGTTATGATGATGTTTTTTAATTAATTTGTATCACAAGATGGCTTGGCAAGGCTGATTGGGAAACTGAATCCTGCAGTGGGATGAAAAGTCCAAAAATGAAAATAAAATTGTGTAACTGAGATCCTCCAGTATTTCATGCTGGGTCCACCATCATGTAATATTTGTAACCTAGGAAATGCTCTACATTTCTCCCTTTCTGAGAGTCTTTAGCAGAGCTGGGGTCAAAGCAGACCCTACAGCTGATGACTGACATGAGCGTGGCTCTTGCCTGTTCCTACAGTACCCCTTTCTCTGCATCAAGCTCCAAAACTCTTGTACAAACATAATTGCTTTCCCTCTATTTCCACCTTCTTCCTTGCTAGCCTCCATGAGACTCCATGCTGTGCCTGAACGCTTGCCAATGTGCTGCTCTCTGATGACAGCTGGCAGCAACAACTGACAGCTCTGCCACAACAAACAGCAGCACATGCAAGTGTTTTCCAGAGCTGTGACTGCAGGCGAAAGATTCGGCTGGTGTGGAAGCACATCATCTTGAGCCTCACGGCCTGCTTTAGACAGTTTTGTCCCTCATGATGGTTTGCCAGCCAGCCTGCGCATCCAACTTCTTTTTCTGTGGAAACTGGAGAAGCAACTGTGGCATGTGCAGAAGCAACTGTAGGCTCCCCGGTTTGCATAGAGCTGGTGATGACAAAACATAGACTTGTGAATCCAAATCTGTTTCTAAGTTGTTGTTGCTTGAGGTAATCTTCTCACTGAATTGAAAATAAAGGGTTGGGAGGATTTTCCTTTGATGCTGTGGTGAAACTTGAGTCGTGAGTGTCCTCTATGAGGCTGAGCTAGCATCTCCGTGGTCTGGTCCTATTTTTGCAGCAATGCCCCATAGCTGTAACATCTGGCAGGGACCAAGCCTGGGTGACCAAAGCCTGATTGCTTAGAGGGGAGCCTGAAATTAATGAAAGTGCTGGGAGAAGCTGTGGCTCTGACTAAGCCAGGTTCTGCAAGCACGTGGATTGTCAGTGTGGTCAAGAGGAGCTTCTGAGTTCTAAGTTCTGGTAACTTAAAATAACTCTTTAAAGGAGAGAGATAAAAGTTACTGGTATTTCCCACAGCATTGTGTCCCTGTGCTGGATTTTGTCCTTCACACCACTAAAGCAGTCTCTGCAGTTGCATGATCTGCTTGGGACAAAAATTTAGTGCCTGGAGTTGTTTATTGGCTCAAGTGTGACAAGAGAGCATTGTCTTTCCTCGCTTTCTGTACTCCTGTCGCTTCTCACTTTGTTGCAGCTTCAGAAGATGTTGCAATCGGGCAGGAGAGCAGTTTCCTGCTCCAGCTGGAAAGCGTGTCGAACTTCTCTTTTCTCCAGGACCGTTATGCCTGCTTCCCCTCTGGTGTCTACCACCTCTTGGGGCTTGGTTTCCGCTTTCCTCTGGACTTCTGTAAAAGCCTTTCTTGTTTGTTTCGTGTGTGGTGCGATGATAAAGTTCAGGAAGCAGCTGCTCAGATTCAGAGCAACTTGGGCATTGCCTACAAACACCGCTGGTTGTCAGATGACTAAAATTTTCAGCTCTGTAACTTCCAGAGAAAGCTATGGTCAAAAATGACACTGCAACACATACAATGCTTTTCTCTGTTCAGAGAGACTAAGATGTGCTTTAGTCAACAAACTAAATCATGGTATTAGGGCTAGAAGTTGGATTTCTATTTCAAAATTTCACATCAGTAAACGTTTGGATGGAAAGGGGATGTTCATGAAACCAAGCTTCTCTGGAAAGCATGGGCTACTTATAATAAATATGACCTCAGGGTTGTTTTAGTTTGGATGTCTCATGCCTGTTTGTTTTGTTTCTGTAGGTCAAGGTCTTTTGTCAGATGACCTATTTCATGGCACATTGTAGCCATGGGTATCTTCTACTGCACTGCTAGTGATGCAGCACAGGACTCTGGTTGTGTCCAAAGTAGTGTTATCTGGTCCCCAGAGAGGAAGAGAGCATGGAAGCACACACACAAGAAATTCCAGCAAAATTTGTGAAATAGAGCACTTGGATTTTGTGTTGTTACTCTGCTGCTGAGAAATGTAAACTTTTCAACTGGCAAAAAAAAAATCCCAATTTTCTGACTATCTCCTTGTGGAAATTCAGGCTACGACTTTACAATTCAACATCTTAGATATTGTGGTGTGCATGAGGGCCTCCTTCTGAAATCAATTGGAAGGATGGCTGTGTTGCTAAAGCTATGGTGCCAGGGAGTCTGGATTCCAAAATGTGTAGGCAGAAGGAGATTAAAGAAAAGAGTGGTCTTTAACTATTTAATAAGCAAAGGTGTCTGTAAATTTAGCTATGCGCTATCGACTACGGTAGCATGCCATACCCCTCCTTTAAATGTTGAGGAGTCCCTCACGTGGCAAAGGCAACTCAAGGCAATTGCCGTTTTTGTGTTTCATCTCGGATGCACAACTGTGAGTCACTCTGTTCTCTTATGGAGGTTTAATACTTATTCTTCCCTGTTTGCCTCAATCTGAAGTGAGCTAGTTAGACTGGAAAAAAAAACAACCACCAAAAAAACCCCCCAACAACCCCATGTTGTGTCTTTTACATGTGCAGAGCAATAACATTTACCGTTAAATCTCTCAAATACGTTGGGCTGCCCTTCAGCCTTCCACTTCCCTGCAATATTTCATAGTGCACAGTACTGTATATTCCCAGACTTCCCTCCACCCACTGCCTTCAATCTGCTCCTTCTTTCATAATTAAACCTAGAAACTCTTCAACTGGTTGCAGAGTTTTGCTTTTCCAGTTCAGCTTTGATATGTTATCAACACTGAAAACGTTGCTGGAGATTTTGCAAACATGAGGTTTATCAGTAAAAATCTGCTTGTTGGGGGGAAAAGGGCATTTTTTTTGTCTCTAGTGAGAAGGGCTTGGGCTGCAACATATTTACAGCTAGCACGAAGGTGCCTGGGAGCAGGATTTTGTCTGAAGTTTCTCTCTACACAGTTCTAAATCTTTCAGGCAGCTGCTCTGAGAAAGGGGCAAGTGTTAGGCTTTTGTAAACAATCAATGCACTGTAAGATCTTAAACCTGTTATTTGAACTTAGTGCTGTGGCTGATGCTGAGCTCGTAACTGTATCTAGCACTTGAATGTACAGCTCTTGCTGAAGACTGGCTTCTGTGGTACAATCCTGCTTTCTGAGAGGTAAATTTGGGGGTGTATCTGGCATTTTACCACTGATCGCCCCTTACATGGCATAGTGCTAGCTGACCCCATGCATCCCACCCCCCATTTCTCCCTTACCCGAGTGCCCTTGTAGATATTAATTGCTGTATTGGCTTGATATGTGACTTTCCTTGCATACGACCTGTAGTGGCACCAAAGTGCAAGATTTCAGCCTGACTCGCTATTGCAAGGTGCTCACAGCAGTGAATTTGGCTGGGTTTTTCTAGGAGGCTGAGCAGACGTGCATGGTACAGCCTAGAAGCTCAGACGACTTCCTGAACTTTTCTTCCTAGAGTTTCTTTTCCTGCTCTTCTTCTTGGCAGAAGGTACGTAGGTAAATTAGCTCAGACATATTTACAGTGGTGTATCTATGTGATGGTTTGAGCTGGGGCTGCCCTTATCCCATGCAGCCTTCTGTGCTCTGGGAGATGAGCTCCAGCAGGAAGATGAAGCAGACCAGCTGGGAATGATAATATGCTAACCCACTACGGTTATGTCCCTCAGAGCCTGAGCTGCTAGATGACTAACTGGGCATTATAGAAACTGGGTGGCCAGATGGGAAGCACCTGTTATAGGAATTTTGCTGGGCTGGTGTACAGCAGCCTCTGTCTTTTATTCTTCTCTCTCCCTCCCCCCCATCTTGTTAACTATCCTCTACTGGCTTGACTCTCATCTGAATCTGCTCTAAAATCACATTATTTCCATATAAGCATGATAATCAGTGGTATGAGTGAATAGAAGCAGTGAGCAGGCAAGCTTTGCTTGTAAGAGTCCACATCTGTAAGTCTTGCAGTGGTGAGAATACTCTCCAAACCGGTAAGCTATGAGTGTTTCAAAATAATACTTTTAGGAGCAGATAAGCCACAGAATTTAATGGAAAGACATAGCTGCACTTGGCTAGGGTCAGACAAGGACAGGCTGGTGCTAGAGGAGCTGGAAATTAGCACAAGGAAGAAACATATTTAAAAATTACCCAACACTCCTCACCTTCAAAGCTCTTCATAAAATTAAGTCATTAGTCCTTACAATATTCAAGGTGATGAAAGGAGAGGGAAAGAATGAGGAACTGTTTGGGATTTCAGACTTCATATATTCACTCAACGTTTTCCCTTTCATGTCTATTTAAATAAATTAACCTGAATACTCAAGGTTATATTTGACACTGCAATCTACTTATAAGGTACTGAGGAAGAAGCATCAGGTGAATTAGCAGGTTTCCAGTTGTATGTCTAGATTTCCCTGAGCACCTTTGGTTTAATGAACTTCCCTTTGGGTCTGCCTTCAGTGCATGCCCCTGCCATGTCTGGGCATGGCTGGGAGGAGCAGAGTGAACCTCTGTCAGAGGAGCAGAATAAATTGTGAGACTCGTGTTGGCTGTGTCTAGTTTATCATGAGGATGCTTCATCCCAAGACGCT